GGAAAAGCAAGACAAGCTTTCATTACTCTCAAATCTGTGTGGAGGTCAACAGCAATCAGCATCAAAAATAAGATCCGGATTTTCAACTCCAATGTGAAGTCAGTGCTACTATACGGATCAGAGACTTGGCGAGTCATAAAGAGCATCTCAAACAAACTTCAAACCTTCATTAACAACTGTCTCCGCTCAATACTCAAGATCAGATGGCCAGAAAAGATCAGCAACAGGGATCTCTGGGAGCGAACCAATCAGGAACCGATTGTGAAACAAATAGGCAGAAAGAAATGGAGATGGATTGGCCATACGCTGAGGAAACCATCAAGTGACATCACTAGACAAGCCCTCGAGTGGAACCCGAAAGGGAGGCGGCGAGTTGGTCGTCCAAGGGTGACTTGGAGGAGGTCATGTGAAGAGGAGATGAAAGCATGTGGGCAGACCTGGAGCAGGGTGAAAAAGTTGTCAGAAAACCGAAGTCAATGGAGGTGCGCAGCTGAAGCCCTATGTTCCTCTAGGAACTAAAGGATACAATAATAATAATATAATGGTAAGGGATGTGCGTTGGATGCATAGTGACTAATAAGTTAGGTAACAATGTACTGAGTTGAACTCAAATCATAGAAACAAGAGACAAACAAAATTACAGATTATAAAAGGAGGGTGAGGTTAAAGACAAAATTACACAATCAGATGAGAGATGCAAAGTGACTAATAAGTTAGGTAACAATGTACTGAGTTGAACTCAAATCATAGAAACAAGAAACAAGCAAAATTATAAAAGAGGGTGAGGTTAAATAAAGACAAAGATTACGCAATCAGATGGGAGAAAAAAGACATCCAGTTACCAAGGCAAGGAAAGACTAATAACTGATTCTTTCTGAACACATAGATCTGGTTTCAAGCGTTTTATAGAAATTGCTTCGGCAAACTTGAGGAGAATGGAGCTCCTTTGTCTATTGATAATTTTGAAGGATTTCTCGATTTCCACCTCATGACCCGTGTCGAGGAGATGTCTGGTAATAGCGCTGCTATAAGAATTTGTTCCCTTGAGACGTAGGCTTTTCGGCACATGTTCAGAAAATCGGAGGTGTGCCCTTCTTTCTGTTCTCCCAATGTAACTGCTCCCGCAGATACACGTAAATTTGTATACACAGTTGGAGTTAACATGAGAAGGGTATCTATCGACTTTTGACTGCACCAAAGAGCATGTTGTTCGGTGGACGGGAACCAACTTAGCTGCAGGATAGGCTCTGGCTAGTGACGTCCTCAGTCTTCTGTTGACCATTTCTGCAATGTCTTCACCTTTAAAGTCTAGTTGAATGAAGACAGGCTTTTTTTCGACTGTGATTTGTTTGGTATTTAAGCCTTCACATCTTCCATATTTGTTAATGAATTACATTGTTACCTAACTTATTAGTCACTATGCATCCAACGCACATCCCTTACCATTATATACATACATTTATTTATTATTTTTTAACTTGAACTGCCTGTGTAAAAACTATATAAGCGCAATTTTCTGAGCACTGTTTACTAGTTGTGAAACTTTCTGTCAACATGTAAAATTTGCAAGTACGTTAAAACGTTTCTGTACTTAAACCTGAAAATTTATTTAGGCTGTAAGCAGCTGACGAGAAGCCAACGAAATAAATGATGGTACCATGTTATTCTGCACAAATCAATGTTGTTCTCGCTTTATTCAAATTTATCAAGGGGAATAAATGCATGAAGTTTCTCAAAAATCGCCTCCCCGCTGAATCTTTCAAGTCACTGGATCGCTTGGTGACAATTCGTTGCAGAATATCCAGAGAAGTTACACGAATAAAGTTTTACAATGAATGCTTGCAGTCCCACTGCTTCCCTCGGCATCTCATGAAGTCACTCCGTAGTTGCAAATTGCCACCCTCTCTCAAAAACCTCCGACGCATTACGAAATCGCATATTGAATCAACAGAATCTCTGATTGCAAAATTGAGAAATGAAGCCAGATCCTTTGACGGTGTCGTCAATAGTTTGAACATAGTCTGCCGGATCAAATTCATCAATTTCATTCAAGAGCTTCAACAGAAAACCTGTGAAAATTTTTATAAAACCCTGACGAAATCCCTGACAAAGGAAAAAATATATGAAGTCTTCCCAGAAAATCCTGAGGATTTTGTATATAATCTGTCGAGTGTGAATTTAAGCCGCATAGAAATGGAAGTGCTTTCCCTCGGATTTAACTTCCATATCCCGAATAGCTTTGTCAATAGAACCGACGTCACAGCTCAATTCGAAAACCTATTCTATCAGCTGAATGATCTTACTCCAGTTGATGAAGACAAGAAGAGCTGGTTCAAATCTAAGCTGGTCGACGTTGCAAATCAATACCTCATCTCACCAACGTCATATTCAAAAGTCCTCTCTGAAGAACATAAAAAAGCATTGAAAGCTCTTAGAAATAATGACAAAATTGTCATACTGCGACCTGACAAAGGCTCAGGAGTGGTAGTGATGGATAAAGATGACTACGTCGCAAGGATGAAAACTGTGCTCAGTGATCCGTTGAGGTTCAAAGTCGACGACTGCCAGAAAGACAAGACAGATGCAACCGAAAAACGCATCACAAACGTATTGAGAGATCTTCTAAAGAAGAAATTGATTGACAACAACACGTACAATGAATTGAAACCCCGAGGGTCCCGCTTGCCATATATGTATGGCCTTCCAAAGACACACAAGAAAGAAGTCCCTTTGAGACCTATACTTTCGATGATCAACTCTCCCCAACATAAGGTTGCCCGTTGGCTCGCGGAGAAGTTGGAACCCATTCGCCAAAGGCTGGCCGCGCACACCATAAAGGACTCATTTCATTTTGCTGAAAGCGTGAATCACATGAACGTTTCAAATAAGTTCATGGCTTCATTTGATGCAACCTCCTTGTTCACAATGATCCCAATCAATGAAACCATTGAAATCATTTGTCAACAGTCTGATCTTCTCCCACTACCAGAGCCGGAATTCAAACGCCTACTGCTGATGTGTACCATGGATGTACAATTCCAGTTTGACAACACTCTTTACCGACAAATAGATGGTGTAGCTATGGGCAGTCCACTTAGCCCTGTTTTAGCAGATATCTTTATGTCAAACCTTGAGAAAACAAAGCTGAAGCATGCAATTGATCAAACAACGTCCTATTGTCGATATGTCGATGACACATTTGTAGTATGCAACAATGAAAGTCATGCCTCCTACCTACTCAGACTATTCAACAACGCACATACAAATATTGTATTTACTATGGAACATGAAAATGATGGACAGTTCCATTTCCTTGACGTCGCCGTAAAACGCCTAGAAGATGGTAGCCTCCAGAGGTCAATCTACCGAAAGCCCACATGGAATGGACAATACTTACATTTTAATAGTTTTTGTCCAAATAGCTATAAACGAGCACTTGTCAAGACTCTGTACTATAGAGCGAGGAGAATATGCTCTGCAGAGAAACTAGAGGAAGAATTCACGAATCTCGAAAAGGTGCTGAAAAACAACGGCTATACTCAAAAATTCATTAACAAATATGGAAGATGTGAAGGCTTAAATACCAAACAAATCACAGTCGAAAAAAAGCCTGTCTTCATTCAACTAGACTTTAAAGGTGAAGACATTGCAGAAATGGTCAACAGAAGACTGAGGACGTCACTAGCCAGAGCCTATCCTGCAGCTAAGTTGGTTCCCGTCCACCGAACAACATGCTCTTTGGTGCAGTCAAAAGTCGATAGATACCCTTCTCATGTTAACTCCAACTGTGTATACAAATTTACGTGTATCTGCGGGAGCAGTTACATTGGGAGAACAGAAAGAAGGGCACACCTCCGATTTTCTGAACATGTGCCGAAAAGCCTACGTCTCAAGGGAACAAATTCTTATAGCAGCGCTATTACCAGACATCTCCTCGACACGGGTCATGAGGTGGAAATCGAGAAATCCTTCAAAATTATCAATAGACAAAGGAGCTCCATTCTCCTCAAGTTTGCCGAAGCAATTTCTATAAAACGCTTGAAACCAGATCTATGTGTTCAGAAAGAATCAGTTATTAGTCTTTCCTTGCCTTGGTAACTGGATGTCTTTTTTCTCCCATCTGATTGCGTAATCTTTGTCTTTATTTAACCTCACCCTCTTTTATAATTTTGCTTGTTTCTTGTTTCTATGATTTGAGTTCAACTCAGTACATTGTTACCTAACTTATTAGTCACTTTGCATCTCTCATCTGATTGTGTAATTTTGTCTTTAACCTCACCCTCCTTTTATAATCTGTAATTTTGTTTGTCTCTTGTTTCTATGATTTGAGTTCAACTCAGTACATTGTTACCTAACTTATTAGTCACTATGCATCCAACGCACATCCCTTACCATTATATACATACATTTATTTATTATTTTTTAACTTGAACTGCCTGTGTAAAAACTATATAAGCGCAATTTTCTGAGCACTGTTTACTAGTTGTGAAACTTTCTGTCAACATGTAAAATTTGCAAGTACGTTAAAACGTTTCTGTACTTAAACCTGAAAATTTATTTAGGCTGTAAGCAGCTGACGAGAAGCCAACGAAATAAATGATGGTACCATGTTATTCTGCACAAATCAATGTTGTTCTCGCTTTATTCAAATTTATCAAGGGGAATAAATGCATGAAGTTTTATTCAAATGTCTAATCAATTTGTTACTCATTTAAATAAACAAAGCAAGAAAGTTGTGTGAGAGTACCTTGATAAGGTCATAAGCAATGATAGATTGTGCTCAAAATATCATCATCAGTAAATATTACTGTAAAACACTTTGTGACTCCTTCGAGTATCTTGTGAAGTAACGCGTGGGAGGTGACAAAAACGACTAGATTGAATGTACTAAACTCGGAGAATAAGAAATCTAGGCGTGAGAAAAGTAGAGCCAAAATCATAGAAAAGTAACCAAAGCACTTTCATTTTGTTTTGGCTTTTACAATATGTTTTTAATTTACCTTAATTTCCAGCTCGTTTATACGCTTTTCCAATTGGTTAATTTTAGCATCCTTTTCCGCCAAACTGGCATCAGTTGACTGAAAAAATGTAAGAGAAAGGGGTGACCGAGAAAAATATTAAGCAATAAAAACAAATAACAGTTAACTTTCTCAACAGTTAGTTTGTAGAGATTTGATTTCTTCCAAGTTCGATCACGGATTGATATCAGTTAGAGATCCATTGTAAACCAGCCACAGGGAGTACTGGATAGCTACCTCTTCCCAGAATGAGAGGCATAAACACTAAGCACACACCACACACAGGGTTGTGCACTCCGATTTCCCTTGCAGCTGTCCACAGGCAACGCTGCACTTTTGATTCCAACACGGTTATTCCAAACTGACCGTGTCTGATTGGTCCTTAAGCAGCTATCCCCTCAATTCCGCAAACCCTAAGCGCTGGTGCTTTTCCTGTCGTAGTTATTTCAAGAGAAATCAAATTCTACGATGTGGTCAGTTTTCCGGGAGGTAACAACAGCCCACAAACTTCTTTGAGCAAGCACACAAGTTTCCTCTGATCATTACGAACTTCATGAAGAGATTTAGTTTTTTTCAAAGACGATTGTACATTGAGTTTCACAATGTTTTGTGGAATATCACTACCATTAGTCAACTCTTCGCTCAATGCTCAAGATCAGATGACCAGCCAGAAAACATCAGGAACATGGAGGGATCTCTGGGAGTGAACCAACCAACCTAGCAGGAACCGCTGGTGCAACAAATAAGCTGGAAGAAATGGAGGTGGATTCACCATACTCTGAGAAAACAAACCATCAACTGAATGACATCACATTCCAAACCATCGCTCAAGCGCAACCCAAATGGGAAGGGGCGAGTGAGTTGGTCGTGAGTGCGAGGGTGACATGGAGAAGGAAGTCATGCAAAGAGGAGATGAAAGCATGTGGTCAGACGTGGAGGCAGGTGATGAAAACGTTGGCAGAGAACCAAACACATTGGAGACGTGCGTCTGAAGCCCTATGTTCCTCTAGGAACTAAAGGAAACAGGAATAATTACAGTAGTCAATTAAAAAAAAGGGAGATTTCCGAAGAGATTTGATATCACTTCCTCATAAACACGGGAAACTTTAAGTGTATGGATGACAATAGTTAATTAAAATAATTTAGTTCTTATATGGAACATTTTGGTTTATTGCTATTCGTTGTCATTCATTCCAGTTCTCTACTTACATTCACTGGATTGTGGGTTCATATCCCATGTGATTTATCATTTTTCAAAAATCGGCTGTCCTTTTTATTTATTAGTATTATTTCCATAGAGAAAGAAAGACAAGATTTGCAGTATAAAATTTGATATCGACATCCTCTTTAATAGGTTCTCATCAGCTAACTGCAACCCACTACCTGAAATTACAATGGTTATGAATAATAACATTTCATACTTCATTGTTTGAAAGTTCATAGAGAAAACATTCTAAGATGAACGCATCCGAAATATTATAAGCAATCACAATTATTTATAGTTTAAATTACCATTATTTTATATACTGTCAAACTATGAAAAAGAGGGGGTTGTGTGAGTCTGTCTCTGTCTGGATTCAACATAGAACTTGGCATCGAAGTGCACCAGTTCCAGTTGCCACGTTCCAAATAGCACACAGAGGTAGACAAAAAGATAAGTGAAGAGAATCAATAGACAAGTTTGACAAGTATAAGAGTGAAACAGAATGGGTAATGGTAGAAAGGAATATGAAAGATTACAGAGACTGAATACATCTGTGCTGGCCATTGACAACGATTTTCAGCCATGTCACCTATTGTCTCCAGACATTGATTCCTAGAGTCCCGAGGCCCCCAACCCGGGAGTCTGCATCTCTCTACCTGACTCAGTTTAACTGTCAAGGATTTCATGGATTGATGAGGCCATGTTTTTGTTTGGCCACCACTGGCTCTTTTCCAGTGGTGGTGGGTTGTGTGAGAGAAGACGGATAATAGAAAAATCTCATAAACAGTGTTAGCTAGTACATCAACATAGCAGCTCAAGAAGGTTAAAGTTCTTCAAATGGAAAACTTGCTCAATGAGCCCAGCTCACTAGTGTGTATGATTAATCAGTACAATGAATGTAATACGGCTACCAAAGGAATGAGAGACTGACTACACTCTCTGTGTGTGTGGGCATAAGTTTTGGTATGAAATGTTTGAATACAATTGCTTCAGCAGAAAATCGTAGTAGATTTGCTATCCTTTGTATGTTTATTATTTTGAAGGATTTGGAAATCTCGACAAAACGACCCATTTCTATATGGTGGGTGTCTGGTAATTACACCTTGTAAATATCTGCTTCCTTTTAAGCCTAAGTTTCTTGGAATATGCTCTGAAAACTGGATAATACTTATATTCCGGATTTGTTCACCTTATAATGTTTTCTCTATTACCTTTCAAACGTTGAAGTATAATAATAATAATAATAATAATAATTTTTCCTTCACGTTCCCAGTGGAACATAGGGCTTCAAGGTAGTGGCTTGAAGTTTCTGTAGCGGTAGTGTTTATTTTTACAGGATGAGGTTGCTAGCCTCATACCCAACCTTTCCTCTTCACCAGCATTTTTTCTGGCTAAGCAAGGTAAAGGAGTGCGTCAGCCGGTGATCGAACCCCGGACCATGTGCATGGTCGGCGAGCGTCCTAACCGCTATGCCACCGACGCAGGTGGTCCTAAAAAGGACCTTGATTCGTTCTTGTGCGGACCACTCATTGGTCACAAAACATTCACTCACACATGCTGAGAAAATTAACCACCAAAACCGTACAAAGTACGACCTTGGCGTTTCAATGCATACACAACATCCATAGCTGTCACAGTCTTCCTCTTCGCATGCTCTGTGTACGTCACAGCGACACGGATCACATTCTCCAAGAACACCTTGAGAACACCACGAGTCTCTTCGTAGATCAAACCAGAGATACGCTTCACACCACCACAACGAGCGAGACGGTGGATAGCTGGCTTGGTGATTCCTTGGATGTTATCACGGAGAACCTTGCGATATCTCTTCGCTCCTCCTTTTCCCAATCCCTTACTGCCTTTACCACAACCAGACATAATTCAAGATAATGACTTGACGAGAACTGACACGAGACCACCAACATTGAAGTATGAAATGTCATTATTTATAACCATTGTGATTTCAGGCAGTTCAGAGTTAGCTGATGATAGCCTGTGAAATAGAATGATGATATCATTTTATACTGCAAATTTGGTCTTTCCTTCTCTATCGAAATTTATCAAGGGGACCAAATGTATGAAATTATTATTATTATTATCATTATTGTTGTTATTATTATAAACACACCCTTTCGATAACAAACTGCAGGAACATATAACATTGAAAACTATGCCTTAAATACAAAGATCAATCCACAGCTTACCTTTATTGATGAATAAGTGCTTGCTAATTGAGCTTGATAGTCTAGAAAACTGCTCACTTTATCCTTAAGTTCATCATCTCTGAAAAGATGGTAAAAAAAAAGTGGTAAGCGGAGTATAGATAGAACTATCGAATTGTACTGGAAAATAAGTTGTCTAGAGTGCACAGCTGTGGAATATTCATCAGCCACACAGGGTGGTCCAAGGTTCGATACCGGATCCTTTACCTCATCAAACGAGTAATAAGACTGGTAAGGAGGGAAGGTTGGGAATGAGGCTAGCAATCTCATCCTGTAAAAAATAAACACCACTGCTACAGAAACTTTAAGCCTCTAGCTCGAAGCCCTATGTTCCACTGGGGAGGTAAAGGAATAAAAAAAAGAGTGCAATAATTGAACACCTGGTTAACACACTGATCATTCCATCTCAACAACAAACGCCTCCTGCTTCAAAGTAATCTACAGAGTCAAGAATACTTACTTTACTTTACTTCGGCTATCTCCTACGGGAGGATGAGCCGGCTTCATGAACATCTCGAATCATCGCTGCCCAGGCGCGGCGATCCGATGCAAGGTTTTGCGACAGGGTTATCCAATTCTTGTTCCACAGACGAAGTCCGTAGACGGTTTGTAGCCCCAGGCACTCCATATCAGCCTTGACTGTACCAAGCCATGTTTTCAGCTGTCCATCCCTGCGACATCGCCAAGATGGAAATGGTGAGGGATTTAGAACTGATTTGACTAGATCGTCATCTGGTCGGCGGAGAACATGGCCAAACCACCGAAGGCGACGGTGTTGGACCAGTACTGGAATTTGGTTGATGTTGTAGCAACGACGACACATTTCTTCGTTGGAGAGTTTGTCCTGCCAACGAACATGCAAAATTAACCTGAGGCACCAATGGTCTAATACCTCGAGTCTGTGTAAATCTTCCGCGCGAAGAGGCCAGGTTTCACAGCCATACAGGAGAACGGGTCGTATGGAGGCTTCGTAGACCCGAATTTTAGTCCTGAGACTGATTTCCCTCTTGCTCCATAGAACGCTCCTCAGCTGTAGAAACGCATTCCGGGCGTTGGAGATTCGCGCATTCACTTCGTTTTTCGCTTGACCGTTGGGGAGCACTATTAATCCCAGATATCTGAACGATGGCACAATTTCAATAGGTGCTTCATTCAGGGATAAGATTTCATCATTGCTGGTGGATGTGTTCGAAAACATTTTTTTTTGGAAGTGTTAATTTCCAAACCGATAGTAGACGCGAGGTGGTTTATCTGATCGATCGGGGAAGTTTTCAGCTAACAACGCGACGTCGTCGGTGAATTCGAGGTCGGTTATGTGAATATCGGGCGAAAGTTGGACGCCGTGGTGCTCGGTTAGGGTGTGCCGCAAAATCCAATCAATTGTGAAATTGAACAGGATAGGGGATGCTGGACAACCTTGCCGGACACCGCTGGTTACCTCAAAAGTGCGGGACTCTTCACCGTTCACTCGGACTCGAGCTTTGGTGTTGGAGTAGTATGACCTGAGCAGGTTGATTAGCTTGGTCGGAACTCCGTCGAGCTCCATTAGATACCAGAGTGCTCCTTGATCGACTGAGTCGAATGCCGCTCGGAAGTCGATGAAGCAAGCAGCCGTCGGCTGTTGGAATTTGTCCCTGTGTTCCAAAATTCTTCGCAGTGTGAATAATTGATCAACACAGCCTCTTTCAGGTCGAAATCCGGCTTGATTTGGCTTTGTTCGCACGTGGCGTTCGGCAGCGAAGCGGTTCAGGAGAATGGAAACAAAAACCTTAGCAGCGATATCAATCAGACTTATGCCTCGGTAGTTCTCGCATAGTGACCTGTCTCCCTTTTTGTGGAACGGTAGCAGAACTGAGGTGCTCCAATCGGAAGGAATGGTTTCGGACTCCCAAATTGAGCAGAACAGCGAGTGCAGCAAATTGATTAGCGCTGGAGTGCAGGCCTTGTATATTTCTGGAGGTAGACCATCTTCGCCCGGAGCTTTTTTGTTTCTGAGTCTGTTAATTGTTTTGGCTATTTCGGTTGAAGTGGGTGGATCGCAGTCAACTACGTAGGGTGTTGGTAAGTGTCGTATCGGTCGATGAGACGGTTGACCAGCGTTGCGATTGAGTAGCTGCTTGGAATGTTCGGCCCATCGTTCCATCTTACCATTGGTGTCCGAAATAATTTCTCCTGATGCTGTGCGTAACACAGCATGACTGTTAAGGCGTTTGCCAGATGATAAGCGTATGAGGCGATAAAGTTTTCCGAAATCGCCTACATTTGATGCTGCTTCCATGTTAGTCGCCACATTAGACCAATAGCGATTTCTGTCACTCCTAGCAGACTGTGTAGCTCTGCGCCTGAGGGAGCGATAAACTGGAGGCTTTGCTAGGCGAGCGTCTCTGGCTTGCGAGGACAGATGCATGGTGTGCTCTGAAATCCAGTCTTTCTGCTTGTTGGATGTAGTACCCAAATGCGACATTGAAGCTTTAGAGACTACTTCTTTGAAATGATTCCATCGTGTCTCAGGTGTATTAGAAGATGTGGATGTTGGTTCATCTGCGGCGCTTAGTTCGGCCTGGATTTGTTTGGACAAAGCTTGTCGCTTTGTCAAACATTGAAGCGGGGCAACATTGATACGCTTCGGAGGTCGCACCTTCTGGCGTGTTGTTAAACGAAGTTTGAATTTCACCCGAACTAGAGTATGGTCTGATCCCCCTTTATTTCCGGCCTCTGCACCACGATAGGATCGACAGTCCTCCACCGAGGAGATCCGGCGTGAGCGCACTAGGATGTAGTCGATCTGATGTGCAGTGCAACTGTCGTTCGAATACCAGGTGAGATGTTTTCTAGGGTGTTGAAATCGAGTGTTGGTGATATATAATTGATTGTAATCAGAAAAAGCTAAAAGTCTATCACCATTACGGCATCGCTGATCGAGACCGTGTTTGCCTAGTATATGTTTTGTCGCGTCGTCTGAAGGGCTAGTGCGGGCGTTCCAATCGCCGGCTAATATGAGAACGTCACGCTTTGGGATTTTGTTGATTGCCTCTTGAAGATTGTCATAAAATTCGTCTTTGATACTTTCATCAGAGTCGAGGGTTGGGGCATAGACAGCGAGAACAGAAATGTCGAGCGGGGAACCCTTGAACCTATCGATTGCAACTCTGGAGTTGACCGATTCGAATAACCTACTAAAAGGCAATAAGGTTTCGTCTTCTTTGTATCACTGAAGCTCTGGCCATTCACATAGAAAAACCGGAGCTGTGCATACAAAAGAGGATTACTTAACCACTTCTACTGTCATGGTAACAACTTTTTTTTATTTTAATGACTTAATTTTGTTTGTTTGCTTGTTTCTTTAACTGCTTATAATTCTTGTATTCATTTGGAACTCTTATGTAATTTTGTATTATCTACTTTTGTTTCTATGCGCATCCTGAGTAAAGCTCACTTATCAAACTATTCGTCTTATTACATAACTTTTTTTGACAATTGTTTATGACAACTCATTACCTTTGTTACTATCCTAATTTCATTGACACCTAATTTTCTTGGCTGATTTTGCATTACGTAACTCCAATTACCAATCTTCACCTGTCTAGTTAAAATAACTATAACCAATTGTATTTTTGTTTGACAAACTTGATGTACACATACATACAAAATAACTCATATATATTTGCGATTGTACAGCTTAGAAAATGAATTTGTTTGCCGAAAAGAGACTCTTCGGTGATCTACGGGGTCTTGTTTTCAAAAAAAGAAGGACAATAAAACCGATCAGAGTTCAGAGAAAACAACCACATTAAAAACACACACTTCAATCAATCCATCAAGTTGGTTTGAGCCATGTAGGAAGGTGTAGACTGTCTCGTTAGGGTCCTCGGAATGCAAAGAACCAATGGCTACAGACAATTTTTGATATGGCTCGAGATCATTTTCAAGAGGGCAGATGTATTCACTCTTTTTAATCGCCTAAATCCATTAAACCCCATTGATTTTGCATGTTCCTATTCTTTCTCCATCACATTTCTGATTATTATCGTCTTTTCGAATGATTTTTTATTCTCTTCTTTGTCTCCATTTGTGTGCTTCATAGGATGTGATAACTTGAACTGGTGTGCTTCTGTGTTAAGCTCTTTGCTAAAACTCAGTCTTAGTCAATTACCTCAGCTGCATATCTTCTCGACTGTATCAAGCAGAGGTGTTATTTGTACCATTCTACCGGAGTGGATGTAGACTTCCAGGCTGGGGTCCTCGGGACGGTAAAAATCTATGGTTGGAAACAATTGGTGACATGGCTCAAAATCGTTCTCAGTGGCGCAGATGCATCCACTCCTTGTGACTTATGATCTTCAATGAAACTGTTTTGTTTTTCTTTATTACTCCTTTGTCTCACACCTCTGCTCACTGTTTCTATTATGCTTTTCTTGTACTTTCTTCTCTTGCTTCGCGTGCTACACGAAATGTGGCGACTTGAACTTCCGCACATTTGTGCATAGTTCTATGTATATATATATATATAGCGTGCTAACCGCTATGCCACCAACGCATACGCGCACATATTATATTATATTTGTTTACGTAAACACAAAAAGCTTGGTACAATATTCCACCAAGAAGATGCACCACACAATAATAATAAAACAACATAGATTCAAAGGAAAAGATATTGGTGGAGAACGAAAAAAAACCTCATCAGGAAGTTCAAACAGGATTCGTCAACTATCATCGGGAAGGGAAGAAAGAAGGAAATTGTAGCACGTTCACCATTGATTACGATTCTTGGCCATATCCGGTAACGTTTCGAGCCATCACTCGGACTCCAACCAGGGAGTCATGACGCACCAACCGATGCTAATCTAGCGCAAATATCCTTCATCCCACGACACCACGTCATGGGCTGACCACCTTTCCGCCTTTTCCATCTCGTCCCAGGACAAGCGAACAGAGAGCTGTACGGAAGCCTCTGGGATAACATTCGCAGCACATGTTCAAGCCACCGAAGCCGGTGTTTCCAGATGACGACACTCAACGAATGGTGATCTCGACTGTGTTCATACACACGCCGCCGAACCTCAGAACTACTCACGCGACGATGCCACCACTCTTCATCTTTAGTATTCCTATTCTGGTCCTAGATACAAAATAAACTAACGACATAAGTTAATTCTTCTATATGAGTCGGAAAATTGACTAGAACAACATGAAAAAATATTTCCAACAGCCATCTCCACACTTTTATCAACAGCTGCGTTCGTTGGTTTCATATTGAAGATTAGATGGCAAACCAGAAAGAATTGACAACAAGAAATTTTGGGTACGAACCATTCAAGAACCTACTGCTCAACAATCATAACTGAAGGAAATGGAAATAAGTCGAACACACGTTAAGGAGACCGTCAAGCAAAGTCGTGCTCTACGCCATCGCTCCAGTGAAACCCCAGTAAGAAACAACGAGTTGGGTCTGCGTCTAAGACTCATATGGAGGATATGAAAGCTTATGGGCAATCGTGCAGTCAGTTAAAGAATACTTATGAGGATAGGACAAAGTGGAGACGTGCTGTTGAAACCCTATGTTGCACTCAGGACCCAAGGGAATAATAATAATAATAATAATAGTAATAATAGGGGAACAATAAAATAATTCAATGGTAATGTATATAAATAGACATACAAAAATGTATTCACCGCCTTCTTCTCGCTTTTCGATGTATAAAGAAACAAGAAAGCCGCAGTATGCTTACTGTTATTATTAGTTATACACGACAATAATATGAGTCACTGGAACATACAGCCGCTTGCAGCTTGTCCACGAAAGCTGTGATGAACAAACACATGCTAGAGAAATACAACTAGCATTCATTACACAGTGCTACTTTAAGAACTAATCACTTCCGCGCTTCTTTCAATCAATGACGCTTACAGGGAAGACAAGGCATAATATACTCAAAATAAAAGCACTTCTTCAGGATGTCATTACTTATTGGAGGTTTTCCTCGGAAAAAAAATTCACATTTGTGAGACAATACAGCTTTGATTCAATCGCTTCACTTTTAAGGCATGAAGCAGAAATCCAAACAAGTTCCACTTTCATAAGATTCAGTAACTTGGCGGTACCATCAGCTACCGAAACAGTAGAAGACAAAGACTTGGTAAAGGAGTGTTTATTTGGAAACTGATATCTCTATATGGTCAAATTATGTACCCCTTATCTTCAACGCACAATTTGTACAGATCTTTGTGTTGTAGTACCTCTGGCCTTCATATTATGTGTGTTTCTTTGTGTTCCACTCACGTCATTTCCAATGTACCTCTACAACGCTGTATCATTTTGCCTTCGCTGACATTAAACCTATCTCCTTGCTGTTTGGTGTTTTTTTATGCCGATTAACGTCTCTTTATATAGTACTGACAAATCTTATCAGTAGCACTCGCCACACCTTTTACAGTACGTCACATGATCTAATGAGCAAACCAGAGTGTGAAAAATACTAAATATAATCAATTAGGTAAACTGAACACCACGACACAACTCTGATCCACACCGATATGTATACGCTTCACCACCTTCGAATTTTGTGGTATGCCCGTCGTCGAATTGCGTCCATTATGCATGTAACTGTTGCGACGACTACTAGTTTTGCTATACATAATTGGAATTTTATAAATTATTGACGTTTTCTTTCATGCGTATATTTTAAAGTTGTTTTTCTTTTTCATTCCTTTACGTTCCCAGTGGAATATTGGGGTTTCAAGCTAGAAGCTTGAAGTTTCTGTAGCAGTGGTGATTACTTTTACAGGATGGGATTGCTAGCCAGCCTCATGCCCAACCTTCCCGCCTTGCCAGTCTTACTACTGACTTAGCGAGGTAAAGGAGTGCGTCGGCAACCGGGGATCGAACCCAGGACCCCCTGCGTGATCGGCGAGTACTCTTCTGCTGTGCCACCAACGCATATTTTAAAGTTGGCAAGTTTATATCAGGTGAAACATTAAATAGCCAGAAAAATAAATCAAAAATTACGTTACAAGATGACTCACTTTATTGTTTTAGGATCTACCAAAGGAGCTTCATTAAGAAGAAGTCGGATCACTGCCTCCTAAATATAAATAAAATGATATGTCAAACAAAAGTGCTCAAGTGACCAGATTGTTAATACGACTTTTAAGACAATAACAGTACACTTAAAGACTATAAGAAAAAATGAAGGATTTCATAAACAAATGTCTGTCTGTTTTCAACATAGAACTTTGCACAGATGAGCAGCAGTCCAAGTCGATACACTCCATGTAGCATACAAAGCAAGAGAAGAAGGGACATGAGACAAAAAGAATAGTAATAACGAAGAACAATATAGTTTCATTGGAAATTATAAGTCACAAGGAGTGGATGTATCTGCACCAGCAATTGAGGACGATTTTCAGCCATATCACCGATTGTCTCCACTCGTCATTAGTTTTCGCCATCCCGAATACCCCAACCAGCCAAAAAGTCTACATCTTCCTACGTCTCTCCCTGGCTTACACTGTTGTGGATTTCATTGACTGGTGAAGCCATGTTTTGGTTTGACCACCACTAACTCTTTTCCAACCTCACTGACCGCATGCCAGCTAACATTATCCGTTGTCAAGGAAGGCGACGACTAGACATATGTAACACATGTCCTAACCATCTTAGTCAATGTAGCTTCACAGCCTCGTTGACTGATTTTCCCTCCTTACCTAGCACTCGACCGATTCCTAACCTCAATACTGCTTACCCTATTATATCATGTCACACGGAAGATAGAACGCAGGCACCTATGATCAAAAACAGCTAGTCATGTCTTTCATGTCTTCCGCTTACAATGGCTGTGTCTCACAAGCATTAGGGAGGACGGAGCGAACTGCTGAGCAGTACACACGCCTTTTGGTTGACAGTCAGCCAGATATCGCGTCTAAGCCAGATGCGGTGTAAACTGGCATGTGCGAAACGAGCCTACTGTATCCGTGCTGAGGTTTTGTCAGCGATCAACCCGTTGGCGTTGGGGCTGATGCAACTTCCCGAATAAGTGAAGCGGTCAACACGCTCCATCAACCACTTCACCCCCTATTTCTAAGCTAGGAGTCAATGTAGTCCAGTCCATTGCTGAAACATCACCTTACTTTTGGTGGGAGCGAATCGCGTGCCAAACCCATAAATAAATGAGTGTTCGATAAGGAAATTTCTTCGATACAATACAAATTTTTAACCATTCTTTGGAACAACGGTGAGAGTCATTAAAAATAAAACAAGCAGTTAAAAATACCTGAATAATGTTGCTTATAGTCGTGGAAATTTAAATGCACTGCATAGTCTATGCTTCAGACACATTCATTTCGTCGTCAGTTTTTCTCTTCCAGCTTATTTTGAATACCCTAACTTCTTATTCTACACAGTGCTTAATCTTTTGACTTTTTCAGTGTTTTCTCTGAGATTGTGTCTCTCTCCATCGTGTTGTACTATATAGCAGACTGAGTGAATACAAGAAATACACTGTGCTTCATATGATTACCTATAATAGCAAGCTACTCAGAACTAATCAATTCCGCCTGCCGAAAAGATTTTCTGAATAGAATATATAAGGTTAATTGGAATCTTAGCTTACTACTTATAAAGTGTGAGACAACAGATTTTGGAACAGCAAGAAGTCTAGGGTTTAATCGCCATGCTTACTGAGTGATACACAGTGAACAGATCAGATGTAACAACTCTTATCTAGGCTTCTTAGCGCTATTCACCGCAATAAATGGAATCAATAATTTAGCTTTCCCTATCGTAAAAGTATTTACAAAGACATTGGTAACATCATATAGTGTCTGGGATTTCTTATTGTTACATAACTTGACTCACCATATCACTTCTGTTATGAACGATTACTGCATTACAGGAAGTTACCTGGAGTTCTAGTGAGAAGTCGTGATCAGTGGATTCCAACAAGTCAGGTACGTCAGGACAGGTGCTTGCTGAGGACATGTGTTAGTAGTCGCGCCATATATAACGTATTGGTACAAAAGTTGGGATCCACGGGCCATTGGACCGAGTGTCAGGAGCTGAATGAACTACGAGCTAACCTTGTAGCTGGAAGGTCCTGGTTTTCACCCCCGCTAGGTGGGTACCGCTGAGGAGTCCCAAAACAAGAACGAAACCAATTTTGAACGTTGTTTTTATGCTAAAATTATACTAAAAGAGTATATGGGTGTATTATATACTCGTCGCCAAATTACTGTTATGTACTAGTCGAGAATTTAATAGTCCTGACGCAAGAAAGACGGAAATCAGAAGACCACTAGGTTTGCGATGATACTTCTATTTTCCAAACACAAGGAGAATCAATGTCACACAAATGTGTGAGAGCAAATTATATGAATGTCCGAACAAGTGTGTGAGCGAATATTCAAAATGAACAAATCGATAGACAGTCTTAACATGATTGGCTAATTATAATGGAATATCGATCCATATATACATAGCAAGGTATAACAGACTGTCAAACAAACACACATATTATATGGATATATATCAGGGTGCTGTATACCATACAAGATTATCCTAACACGTGAGCTTAGCATAAAATGGGCGTAACTTACAAGTTCTGTGATTCTGTTCAACAGATTTAAATTATGAGTGGACAATTCACCGACTAAGTTTTCGTAGGAATGAAGTTTATCAGTTTCTTCATTGAAAGAAATACATGAAACTCATAAAAACATACATACCACCGTTACACTTGCTTTCAGCGGAAGATTTAATTATGTCATTCTGAAAAAAAGAAATAAAGAAAAGGGTTCTGATTAGTTTTTTTCACTAGATTTACATTGGTTAAATGTGCTCAGTAACTTTCCATTTGTTACAGGTTTTCATCAGGAGCTGACATCAGTTAGAGAACCACTGGAAAACCTGCAGGGAGTACTGGACACCTGTTTCGTCAGCCTAGTTTGGGACTCTTCATCAGTAGGCACCCACCACCAGGGTTTGAACCCTGATTATAAAGCAAGCTCGTAGACTATTAAGCCACGGCCACCCGACCTAATGACCAGTCCACGAATTCTAACTTCCGCCAATTCACGACATAGAGCGACGGCTAGCCAACGTCTTCGGTGAGTATTTGTCCTCACACCCGACCTGCTGCAACCTACTGGTCACGACTTCCCACTAGAAACCAGGTAACAATCTACCTAAATACGGCCAGTGAGCATCTCATCGATATTCTAGTATTGGTTCTGAAACCCCTGTCGGCTCACGATGAAATCTTGTAACCAATCAAACAAATACCTAAAAACCAATACTTGAACTTTTCATTTGTACGACAGTCTTAACAAAATGTTGCAAAGTCATTATTTTTATGTTTTACTTTAAGCTATTGCTTGTTAAGTCGTACGAACGTTATACATCAACGGTTATCATGGATATCTTCGGTCAGTCAACAAGATTAAACAACTTCATATGACATTTTACATTAAGAAGTTAAGACACTCGGGTATAACTCAACCCCTCTTCTTACAGTTTGTTAACTCTTGCATCCTACCTATTCTTCTTTATTGCTCACCCTTATTCTTTCCTGGTTTGCTTAAAAAAGACTATGTCACAATTCGTAGAATACTGAAGACTGTCAGTAGGGTGAGTGGTGTCCCAGTGGACCACATAGTTAACGTTGTTGTCGATAGGCACTTGACTTCATGCAATAAATTTGCTAAAGGGATTTTGTCTGACTTGGAGCATCCGCTTTACCCTCAGCTTTCACCTTGCATCTCCTCAGGTAGAACAAGGAGTAACTTCAGAAAACTGTATGCTCGCACGTCTAAGTATAAGAATTCTATGATACCATACTTGGCACGTATTTTATGTGATGAAAATAGTGTCAGGCAAGAATTAACTAACCTTTTTTCATCTAGTAAATAAACAATTTCCTCCATCCATCCTCATATACCTTCAAGTTTTACCTTTATTACTTCTATTATATTTATGGTCCTGTTACTTCTCTGTTTTTTTTTACTCTCATAATTGCAAACACCAACTTATCTCCATGACGGGCTGTAATCTTTGTTTTTCCCTTCACCATATCATGTAAAGAGAACATTATATTCAATATTTTTAAACATGTTAGGATTTCTATACCACATTGACAATACTGTGTGGCACAAGCCAACGGCAATTTTCACTTGTATTCTTATTATTATTACCCTAGCTGTTATCATTATTATTGCTATTTCCATTTTATATGCTGCATGTTTTTGACACTACCTCTATTGTAAATGTGGAAAATTTTCTGTGTGATTAATTTTATTCAAAATTTGAGGAAATTAGATACAATATTGTGATTAATGCTGAAAATTCCATTCTGTATCACAAGTACTGTTTTTGGAATAAAGTAAATCATTATTATTATTATTATTATTATTATTATTATTATTATTATTGAAATGGGATCAAGATTTGACAAAATAGTTCCAAAATAATTGGACGCAAGCAAATGCTACAGTCAATAAAAGAGTAACTCAGTGTATTGCTTTGGTTTACTCTGGCTCCAAAAAGTTGCAGTCCCTGAAGATTTTATGGATTACTAAAAATACACAAACCAGAAGTTCCATTACGTCCAGTTGTAGATTTTACTAATTCCCCAACCTACAAACTCTCCAAAGACATTTATTGAATACTAAGCCCATATGAGGTGAAAGTGGAACATGGAGTGAAGAATTCGTACGAATTTAAGAGAAAAACTTGACTCATATTGAAGAAGATGAAGTAATCGCAAGTTTCGATGTTTATTCATTATTCACGAAGGTTCCCGTTAATGATTCTTTAAATAATGTTTATAATTTAATTTGTTCTGACGACGAACTCAGTGGTCGTTGTCCTTCAAATCCAGACGAAATTATGAAGGCATTGGAACTGTGTCTACGTTTCACGTTACTTACATTTAGAGGGGTTCTTTACCGTCAAACAGAAGGTATTACCATGAGATCACCAGTATGTCTACTGGTCGCCAATCTATTGATGCACTCATCAAAAACAAATGCAATTATGAGATACTCTAGTCCCCCAAAAATGTGGTTAAGGTAAGTGAAGGATACCTTCGTCATAATCAGACGTAGTTTATTGAAAGGACTTTTTCACGTAATAAACAATGTCAGAAACCATAAAGTTCTCCAAAGAGGTTGAATCCAACGAGAATGATTTGGTGTCCGTCGACTGTTTAGTAAAAAGAAAATTAAATGGTAAATTTAAAGTCAACATTTGCAGAAAGCTGACAAATTCGGACAGATACCTAGACCACTATTCAGCACACTCCTTTACCACCAAAGTAACTGTGGCCAAGAATCTGACTAACAGAGCCAAACGTTTAGTTACTGAGGAGGAAGATATTAGCAATGAACTAAAATTGGTTCAATCTACTCTTGAATCAAATAACTATCCTAAAGCCTTCATAAAAAGATATTTAAAATGTGAAGATAAGGATGGATCGAAACCTGTTGCTAAGATTTGGGTTATTACGGAGGTGATTCTTTACCGCAAAGAAACATCGGATGAGATAAAGCAAATCCTTAATGATCATAACATAAGAGTGTATTTTCGTGCAACTAACATCTTACGCTAATAACTGGTGAACGTTAAGGATAAAATAGAAGAAAACCAACATAATTGTGTGTACCAGATCAATTGTGTGGACTGTGACGCCGTATATTACTTCACCTTTTTTGAAAGTTATGGAAAGACTTATTTTACTTAATTTTGAACCCTCTTTAAGGCCTTTCAACGACCCTAACCAGTTTACTTATAAACATAGTAGGTGTACGTTAGATGCCGCTGTTGTCCTTCACCATAGCATAGTCTCTAGTTTAGGTAAAGGAGCTAAACACGTTCGGTGTGCCTTCCTTGATTACACATCTGCATTTGACTCTGTTCCCAGGTCTCTCTTGCTAAGTAAGCTTGTTGCAACACAGGCTGAGAGCTGGTTGCATTCCTATTTTTCTGATAGGAAACAGTACACCGTCTACAATGGAAAGTCCTCCACTACCTCACTTACTTTAGCTGCTGTTCCTCAAGGTGCTGTTCTTTCTCCCTTTCTGTTTTCGTTTTTTTTACATGACTTGCCTCATTCTGATGTAGCCACTTTTGTTAAGTATGCCGACGACCTCTCGGTTTCTATGCCTGCCAACTCTCAGTCAGATTGTTCCAAATTAAATAACTTTCTGTCGGAAATTAGTCAGTGGTCCTCTTCAAACGGACTTAAGCTTAATCTGTCTAAATGTCAGGTAGTCAATTTCACTTTCAGACGTAAATGTGACCTACAGCAACTAGTTAGCTCATATGGCCCCACTTTCATTGACGGCACAGAGTTTGAAAATACATCTAATGTCAAGTACCTTGGGCTGAGTTTTTCCACCGATCTTTCCTGGTCTTCCCACATCTTTCTAGTTACTAGAAAGATGTTTCGCTTAACGTTCTACGTTAGGAAATTTAGGCAATCTGGCATAAAGCAGTCTTTGCTTTCTCAGTTTGTAAATTCTCGTATTCTACTCATCCCCCTTTACTGCTCCCCATTAACCTTTCCTGGACTACTTAAGAAAGACTTTGCTTCGTTGAGAAGGGCAGGCACTAAAAGCCGTTAGTAGGGCAAGTGGGATATCGTTAAACCAACTGGCTAACACTATTGTAGATAGACATATTATATCATGTAAGAAACTAGTGAATACAATAATGTTGGACCCCGAGCATTCTCAATACACAGCTGTCTCCGTGCATTTCATCTGGTAGAACTAGAAGCAGCTATAGGAAGGAGGCTATATGCTAGGACTACCAAATACAAAAACTCCACAATACCATATCTGGCACAGCTGTTATGTGATGAGAAATCCATTAGGTATGACACGATAAACTTACTACGGCACTCTAACAAATAGTCCCATCAGTTTTTGTTTTCCTTTCCTCGTTACTATTACACTGTTGTTCTCATCTATCACACATCAACTTTATATTTCATATCCTGTGGTACATTGTTTGAAATGTAAACTCTACGCTGTTTGCTTTTTTATATTTTTATTAATCTTTTATTTTTTGGCGTTGGTTTTTTTCTATTTATTTTTTTGATTTTTAAAAATCTTATATAATTTATGAGTTAATTAGATGCAATATACTGCAATGCACGCTGAAAATTCCATACCTGTACCACAAATACCGTTTGGAATAAAGCTGTTATTATTATATGTAGGAGAAACTTCCAGACAGGTAAATATAAGAGTGAAAGGGCATAAACATTGTCTAAAGGTGGTTCCAAAGACCTCTGCAGACTTTAAGTTAGAAAACAGATCAGAGATTGCACTGCATTCTATAGAAACGGGACACAAATCAACTTTGATAGGACTAAGGTTCTACAGAAAGGTTTTAGTTCGTATAAAGAAAGACTGACTGCGGAAATCCTACATATATGGGTGAATCCCAACTGTTTGAATAGACGTGAAGGTGTGATGTTAGCTGAAGCATGATAAATCCTGATTAATAATTGAAAAAGAAGATTCGTACCACTAATTAATCATACTTGGTCAAAACTCCCAATTGTCTATATCTTCTTATGGAGTAGCTGACAAATGTTTTACAACTGTCTACCTATACACACATACACACACCTTTGTATACTGCATACACACACATATATTTTCATATTCAGTTATCTACGACAATGAACTTTCAGTCGAACGTGATCTGGTGAAAAGTACACTCTGTTTAGACTGTTTAACAAAAGTAGACTAATTTTGAAAGTCTGATATCAAATTTTGACCACAGTGTATACAAATTTGTTTATTACACATGTTGTATTCCGAATTTAAGCCAAAGACTTCTGTGCTATTGACAGGTAGGAAAACAGAAGGGTGACTGACTGACCCAATATTTAGTCTCATGGAGACGTTTAGCACTCCACACAATTTCAAAACCACTTATTGCTCAACTAGTAACTGAACTGACATCAAAAGACGACCAGAAGCAAAACTAGAATGTTACTCATGAACTACCTAGGTTTAAATGCCACCAACCACACCTAACATGAGATAACTAATGATACTGTGGTGAGAGCTGTCTACAAACCAAAATTGTAGACAACAATTTACATTAATGTTCACATCCTGAATCATGGTCATGAGAAACACAATAACTAAGCTTAACTTTGAGAAAATTACCAGCCAATCACAGAGGAGTTAGTGTGGAAATATGATTCACAGATATAAGACTTGATTTTCTGAGAAACGGCCACAAAGAGATGACAGAACAACCTTCAGCAAAAAACAACCAATCAGAAGACGTTGATTCTTTGCTAACAATAACGCCAATAATAATGCACATAAAAATCTATAAATACCTATTGATATTCTCAATAAACGATCTGTTTCCTGGCCCTTGTCCTCTGTCGTTACAATACTACCTAGCTACCTCAATCAATGTAGGTAAAATATGATATGTACCCATGACCAATTTTTAAAAATTGAGCAACTAAACCAAAGAGCAAGAATTTTTACAACCTTCTAGAGTAAAAGCATTGGAAATGCATATGATAGAGATATATAGCTCAGGGGGATGATTTTGATGTGGTTTTGTTCTCTGAGCTGGATGGTTAATTTACGAAGCTTTCATCACTCTACTGGGTGGTATCTTCAGCGCATACTTCAATTTGAAGTAAGCTTTTAGATTTATACACGAGTTTATTAATCATCTCTCCTGGTGACCTTGGACGTGATTGGTTGTTTATGTGTTTTCACATCTTCTAGGTTACATGTATTGGAATTGATCGTTTCTTTGACTTGAACTTTGACCCTTTGTGTATGAAGTTTCTTTCTTATTGGTTGATAAATTTTGTCTATCTCTATGTGTCCATTGATTGATGATTCACTGGAATGCCAAGCTTCTAAAAATTCTCTAGCATTCTTGTTGTTTCCTCTGTCTAATATTTGAACGTTGTCCCAGTCGAATTGATGTCCGTGGTTGTCTGTGTGTAGTGATATGAGGGAGTGGATATCATGTCTTTTGACGACTAGCTTATGTTCGTGGATACGAAGACAAAAGGGACGTCCACTTTGGAAATGCATGCATAACATACTAGAGTTATCGATTACAACAAAAATCCATGTAAAACCGGCAGTTATCATCCTGTACTGTCTTAATATCTGATCAGTTCAGTGATGATGATTCTCATGAAATGCCAGATACCCATGACTCATGCAAAGATAGTTAAGTAAATACGACAACAGTGTGTGAAAACAATGTCATTCTACACCCACAGCTCGATATTATTATGAGTACGAGAACTTCATTCGTTTTGCCAGAGCTTTAAACTTGGGGAATACAAAAAGGAATACCTGATACGCCCAGAGACCTGCATTGATTCTTAACGAACAACCTGAAAATCAAGCAATCAACCACACGAATAAGCATACGATGTATGATATGTGTCAACCCTCAGTTATATAAATACAAACCTCGGTATCCCAAGCGAGCGTAACTATATTTTTATTATGAACACAATGATATCGGTTAATCGTGAACCGATTATTTGAAAAAGTAATGCAGAGCAAAATGAGAAATCTGCAAAAAAACCAACGCGTTTACTCTTGTGAGAGTAGTGTGGATGCTTAACATATATGCATGCATATATGTAACTGCAGTTACTTGATTTCCAAAAAAATTCAAACAGAATTCCCCACAAATTAAATACTAAATACAAGAAGATAGATAGTTAATTCACATTCCTTAGTTCAGCATAACATGTAGTTAAAATGAAATTTCTCAATACAAATGAAACTTACGCAGAGACTCGCATGAGTTGTTTCAAAATGCTGCACGAGATATTCTGAATCCGGAAATGACTTCAGGCAATCCGGACAAAGAAACCCAGATACTTCTTAACGCTATTAATACATATCAAAACACCATATACCTTCAGATGACATATGGTAATCCAGAATGACCTTGACCTTGAGAACAGACAAAACCCCGCGGTTTTGTTTTCTCAAAAATAGACGTACAAAACAACAACTAGTATACCAGACAAAATTAACTCGTATATTGCGTTGAATCACTAATAAACATATTCTCTATACCTCAAACGGACATTCTACTTGTTAATAGTGACTACTAACTTTATCGAATGCTATGAGCTACAGAGTTAGGGAATTTAGGGTAGTGACTTTGGAGGATACGTTTGCCTCTGGGTCATATTGTCGTCAATATGCAGTACATTCTTGTTATCGTGATAAATTCGTTAGCGGTAATTATTATCAGTACCGATATTTTGTAAGGATGGTATATAACGAAACGTACTAATGCATTAGTCAAAGGTTAGAACTGTCCGTTAAAATTGAAACAGATGTTCATGTAAAATCATTATTCGAAAGTCGAAACTTCACTTGAGTGATAAGGTTATTAGCATATTTACAAGCGAATGGTTAAGTTTATTTATTTAGAAGTGATAGTAACTTGTTTATAGTTTAAGGGATGTTTTGAGTGATAGGAACATATGTGGCACAGTGCAACTGAATAACTGTATAATAATAATAATAATAATTTATTTTCATATAAACATAAATTTACATGAAAATGCATGCCATTTTTACAGGCACGATCAAGGATGATATAATGTCAAATCTTAAATTGTCTACAAGTTAATAATGTTTCAACAGTTTAATATTTGATACATATATATAATTACACTGATTGTCTGAACCAGGCCGTATAGTTATTGAATTGTACAGTTGTCCTCCAGGTTGAGCGGGAAAATCGACTTCGTTTCGTTTTCATCCCGTGGTTGTAGGCTTACGATAACCAACCAATATTGAGGTAAGTACAACGTTTACAAGGAATTGGAAGCTGTTTTAGAAAAATTAAAGTGCTGAGGTGAAACATTAAAGTGTAATAGATTAAGTGAGTGAAATATATCACTAATAAACACATTTATATAGAAAACAGAAAGGGGAAGTAATTAATCCTTAGGCCGACAACGTTCATTTGCAATGTATAATGAAACCAATATATTTTATACTATCATGATGTCCACTTTTGGCTTTAATACAATTATTTTCAAGCCAGTTGTTTTCATTTCATGTCTTTTTTTCTATTTGGTGCACAACCGTACCCTCCAGAGAATAGGAATAGAATAAGTCGAATCAAATTCATAAAGAGCTATAAAATGTTAGGTTTAATGGAATATAAGGAGGATAAAGTAAAGGCGTTATTAGAAAATAAGTGAGACAAGACACTGAAGTGGTATTTAAAGATCTGACAATGGATAGCAAGTTAATTTATAAGATGCCCCATAAATCTGTGCAGATCCCACGTGGTTGCATCTCAACAATAGGCTGAGCGAATGGTATATATTTAAAGGTAGAAGCATTATCTGTCAAGGCGTTCACTATTATCTTTTTCAAGATAAAGATCTAAGCCCTCATAAAAATCAGAAATATCTCGAGCCTTTAATTTGTATATTGCTGTTCCTGCAGAATGGGTCGATTCACCTTAGTGACTACCACCATATCTACTGATCAGCTAGCGCCACCCTCCCTCCTATAACTGGATAAGCAAAATCAACTAGTCACTACACAGATATTTTGAAGTAAAACGCCATCAGGCGAATTGTTTTGAAGATAGGAGTAGAGCAGTCTACCGAAACTTCTAATTTAGCGAGTAACTAAACTCGAATTAAGACTTAAGCACCAATTACCGACAAAAAGTAAAATGAGATCTTCGGAAGACATTGTGCGCCTCGTTTCTAGATATGGCTTTGTGTTACATTAGAGTTCCTCATTTCACAGGTAAATCACACTTAATATCAGTCTTACCGCTATTAGTTGAAAAAGTAATTCGACTGTGTCACAGATGCTTTCGCTGGACTCCCTAGTAACAACTGTTGTTCCCTATGAGAGTGCAACGAAGAAACCCTCCAGGGATATATTGCAGCTACGTCGAAAATTGATTTCAAGCATTTCACTCATACAAGATGTCAGCCATATCTCGTAAACCGTTAATGCCCAGCTTTTGCTGCACTCGGGCTCACGCTGTTCCTTGAAGTTTATCAGAAACGCTCAGTAATGACGGACGAAAAAACCAAAACACCAATTGGCGACTCGAGGATTCTTTATTGTAACGCTAACATATAAACACTGTTACAACTAAGGTCTGTAAACAAATATTACAATAATAAATCACAATATTACTTCTGACGGTTTTCTGCTGACTTCTTTCTGAACAGCAACCGATGAGACGATGACTGTCGTATTGATGCCTCCGCGAAAATTGGGGAAGTTGGTTTTGAGCAAACAACCATGAGTTGATCGTTCAATCTTCATCTACATTGACACTCCCCGGCAAAAAAGAGATCCATCCCTTTTTTCCATCACGACCAACACACGTTGACTTGGATGCCATTGCGAGAACCTGGGTCGCACGGACAGAGCTGAAATGGAAAACAAACAGAAAAGCCAACACACCACAAGCATACTCACAGCACAATCTCACACATCGCTGACGACCTGCGCCTCCAGTTAAAGGCATCCTCTTGACATCTCTTGCAACACAATCGCCACTTGCTAGAATGACTCTTGCAGAATGCAAAGTGACCATAGCAGCACCTCACGATACTCTACGCACATCCTCTTATCTACTCATTACCAATTACCACTGAAATCGCTTGTCACTCATTCTGCCTCAGTTCTAGTGACGGTGACGTATGCGAGCCTCAGTCGTTTACACTCTTTCTCCCCGGCGTGTGGAACCGCAGCTAACAATTATCTCCGTGTGCATTTCATTCTCAGCAACAGCCTAGCCTCCCCGGCGTATACGACCCATCTGCTGTCCTTAACATCAATCAATTCATTCATGGATGTAGAAGACTCGAAACAACTTCAGAAGTAATCACGACGAAAATTTTAACAAAATTACGCAATAACAACAAGATACGAAAACAACAAGTAAACACAATGAATCCAAAATACACCAATTGCTATGACACACCACACGTATATACAAATTGTACAAACAACCTCGCCGATCATGTCTTGGTGGAATTCCTTTGAAGAATTGCAGGACTTACACCAGTACGCCTACAACCTTCTCAGGTTGATGATACAGGTGGAATGTCCAGACACAAACAGAATTACCAACAGCTAGATGACAGATGATATCAATTCAGTATATACAATATGAACATATGTACAAAATCACACACCAAGCACATTGTGCTGCTCATTGATGCGCTACCCTTTGAAGAATTGTAGGACTTACAGCAGTACGCCTACAACCCTTCTCAGGTTGACGCCCTAGGTTGGAAAATCGTCTAGTGTTTCATCCTCCGACTCTCGACTCTCAGCACCTTCCAGTAGACACAGTTTTCTAATATCTCGCACCAACATGCCACAACTTGTTCTCACCTCAACCGTCCTCACCAATCCATCACCACTACAGATCAGCCTTACTACCACTCCCAAAGGCCACCTACCTGTGGCACATTTATCTGCTACTAATACTATGTCACCAACCTTTAAGTTTCGGCACAACTTTTTCCACTTGTCCCTGGTTTGCAGTGTTAGAACATACTCCTTTAACCATCTTTTCCAAAATATATCTTTCATGTGCCTGGCTTGTTTCCATCTTTTAATCGTAGGTATTCCTTCCCCGCTTGAGTCCTCTATGCCAGGGTTGCCTCTCAATAACAATAATTTATTTGGGGTTAACACATCAAAATCCTTGACGTCGTCCCTCACAGGTGATAACGGCCGGTCATTTAATATTCGTTCAGCTTCACAAAAAAATGTCTCCAGCGTTTCGTCATTCAAACTCTGGTTTTTAATTATGGAGCTTAAAATACGCTTGATAATTCCTATAAGTCTTTCCCATAGCCCACCTCTATGGCTGGCATGTGGTGGGTTGAAGTGCCACTCGATGTTCCTTTTCAGTAACTCTTCCTGAACTCTCGTTTGGGGACCTTCGAAGTACTCTTTAAGCTCGGCGTGACAGCCAACAAAATTAGTCCCTCTGTCGCTGAACATCATCTTCGGTACACCCCGGCGATTTATAAATCTATGTAATGCTAGCACGAATGAATCAGTAGTTAGCGTATGAACCATCTCAATATGCACAGCTCTCATTTTCAAACAGGTGAATAAACAGCCATATCTTTTACATAGGGTTCTGCCTCTCTTCACTACAAAAGGTCCGAACAAATCCACCCCAACGTACTCAAATGGATAATTCCCTTCAGAAGCTTGCCACGCTGGGAGTGGTGCCATCATCTGCTGTACTGGACGAGCATTTCGGAGTTTACATTCCATGCACTTATCAATTATTTTACGGACAGCAGTACCTCCCTTCACTATCCAGAACTTACATCGAATACTTGATAGTACTTGCGAAGTACCCAAATGACCTTCAAGAACATGGTAGTGTCTTATAATGAGATCAGTGACTGGATGGTAGCAAGGTAATAAAGCCGGATGACGGGTCTCATATGACGATTCTAACATTTGTAGACGTCCACCAACTCTAGCGATCCCTTCGGAAACTATCGGAGATAATCTATCTAACCGCACCTTGAAATCTGCGAAATCGGGACTATCCTCCTTGGCAATCTCACCCCACGCTTCCCACTGAGCAGCCCTCAAAATCGCTAACTCTGCATTTCTAATATCTTCGACTCTCAAAGGCCCCACATTCATATTTTCGTATCCCGCAAGATGCATGACCTTTAAATACGTAACATATCGTGTCAACCACGCAACAGCTTTCAGTAGTTTGTACCAAGAAGAATAATATTTAAAAAGTGGATGTAAACCTGAATGTCTTTCTTGAGTAGATGTTAAACTGACACTTGTCTTCAACTCCAAGGCACACTCGTTTATCGGTGGTTCATCTTCTCTACGAGGCCACATACTATCAGCCCTTAGCAAGAACTCTGGACCTTTCCACCACTTATTTTTAACCACATTCATATCAATAACTCCTCGCGAGGCTAGAT